ATCGCTGCTTCACCGGACAGGCTTTTGCTGTAAAATGATGTCATTGAAAATACAATATGTGAGGTTTTAAAAGAATGCATATCATGCACACTAGAGCCCGACCGATAAAGCATTTTGAAGGCCGATACCGATACAAATATTTTTGGGTTTTAAAATCCGATATTCCGATATATCGGCCGATATTTTATTTCTTTATTTATTTATTTTTTTAAACTGGACAGTCACAAACTGATAGTCACAAATTTTGTCATGCTTATTTGAGTTTAGAGAACTGATGGGGATGTTCTTTTAATTGTTATTCAAGCAATGTATGTCTCGTGACCAACTTAATGAGTGTTGCCAACAGGAATGGTGTAGAGTGCCCTCTGGTGGACAAACTATACAACTCCAACACTCATGACATGGTTCAAGCGTGTTTCGTCTGTTTTTATTTTATTTTTTAAATATTCACTTATCGGCCATTATAACTGCCGGTACCGATAGTTTGGAAAATGCCTAATATCGGCCGATAATATCGGCCTGCCGATATATCGGTCTGGCTCTAATGCACACACATGCAATAGAGATTATTATCAAATTACCATAAAGCTAAATGCCACCAGTGCCTGCATGGAGTTATTTCCATGACAATAGATTTTACTTTTGTCTTTAACAAAAACAGCAAGGCCAACGCCTAATCCATCGGTCTGACTGACGAAACCGCAATGACATTATCAAAACAAGTTTTAAAAAATAAAATAAATATATTTGTACTTTATGGACATGCTGCGTGTTTGGATAGTTTTAAAATGACTTTTAAAGAAATGATCAAAAAGAAATGATATATTTTCATTATTTATTTATTTTATAAATTATATAAGTGTTTGTTTGTTCCATTCTGATTCAGTCTACATCGTTTTTTGGGTAATTTAACAATTTCTGTAAAGAGAGTCACACCTCATCACAGCCCATGCAAAATTAAAATATGTTAAATTTGTCTCATTTTATGACCACATTTCATTGACAATCCCGCTGTTCACGGTTCTCTCATTTCCAGGTCTATAAAGCTTTTAAAAGCGAGCAACAGCAGCCGAGGGGGGTCAATGACGGAACGGCAACATTTCTTTCCTGTTTTCCACTAACACACACACCTTCCACATCTGATTTAGTCAGCATGCCGTAACATCTCATAGCCCAAGGGCACTAAATCCACCAGCCAGCACCTTGGTTGTCCTTACTAAATATTATGTTATAGAGCTGTCACGAACACGTCAAACTCTATTGCTGCTCTATCATCAGCTCTGACGGACGGGGGAAATGCTCTTTAAATGCGACCTTTCGAGTGTTTCCAACAAATCACTCTTATTCGCTTCCAAAAATGCTTAAAAAACTTCTAGTCTGTGACATACAATAAAAAAAGATTATGTTCGGTTAAGAATGTCTTCCAATAATAGCAAGTAAAATCAAATGAAAATGTATTGACAAAAAGAAACCTATTGATGTGTCAGTGAACGACTCACTGGGATGCATTAAATCCCCACCATTGGTGTGTATTCTGGCTTTCCCTAAACACTGCACTCACAATCACATCCATTAGTACATCAAACAAACCCAAACATATGTGCTTTTGCTATTGTGAATGAACATATGTGGTGGCTGAACGACTGAGCTCTTGAAATGTGAAACAAAGGAATTGTATTTGTGCATTGCCCACATTGAGCACTCAGAGTTTATGAAGCCATTACGTGAGGAGTGATTGATGTGACAGGGAAGATGCTGTTAAATCAAAGCTGCGTCGGAGCAAAGAGACGCTACAGATGGATGGGTGAAGAACACGATACTCCCGCACCTGTACTACGCACTTTAAAATGCAGCTGCACAAAACCGGAAGTCATCAAAAAAAGAAAGCATGTAAGTTTCTGGTCAAATCTGATCCATCTAAACAGCATCAGTGATGACAGATCAAGTGTTTGATTAATATTGAACCGGAGGCGTTGAACATTGTCAAATATATTGTGTATGTATATATATAGTGTTCCACCGATACAGGCCGGTCCCAATATCTGGAGCGCATAAAATAAAATAAAATAAAATAAAATAAAATAAAATAAAATAAAATAAAATATGAACTCATAATTCACTAAGAGAGCAGGATGGGTATTCATAAATAATAAAAAGTAATGAAATTAGAGCTGTGAAACGATTAATCTGGATTAATCGCATCTAAAATAAAGGTTAGTGTTTACATAATACATGTGTGTGTGTAGTGTATATAATTATTTTGCATATATAAATACACACACATCACATGCATGTATACATTTAATAAATATTTGCACTTTACAAAATTAATATTATACATATATATATAATTATTTGATCTATTAATAATAACACATTTTTTCTTAAATATATACATGCATATGTGTGTATTTATATATACAAAATAATTATACACACATATATTGCATAATAACAAACTTTTTTTTTTTTGGATGCGATTAATCGCAGCCCTAAATGAAATAAAATAAAAGTAAAATAAAATACTGACATAAAATCAATTAAAAGCGCAAATAAAAATACCTATTTTAAACAATATTTACTCAAAATTCTCAAAACGAAAACACAAAAAGCTCAATTATTCAGTCTTTAATTTCAAAACTGACAAGAGGAAATGACAAAAGGCCAAAAATCTTAGAGTAATTTACTTCAGAATTAAATTTTTGTGATAATTTACTCACCCCCACATCATCCCAAATGGTCATCGCTTTCTTTATTCAGTAGAAAAGAAATTACGTTTTTTGAGGACAACAATTTACTCTACAGACACGACCTCAGCCGACGTATCTAGCAAAAAAAAAAAAAAAAAAAAATGTATACACTTTTTAACCACAAATGCTTGTCTTGCACAAGAAAGGTCACGTGTGTCCCTGTTCAAAAAGCTAGGGTAGAGGCAAAATAATCATTGTTTTCCCTTTTTATTTTATTTATTTATTTATTTTGTAAATGACTTTTTTCTTTGCACGTTGGCTTTGTGAACACCAGGTCTGTACTTCCGGCACGTCACGAGTGGCCTTTCATCGTGATTACGTAATGTGCGGTGCATCGCAGAGCATTTGTGGCTAAAAGTATAAATTTATTTACTTTTTCTTTTTTTTAGAAAAAAACAACAATTCTCTAGAGATCAGACTCGTATTCCTCGGATGGGATCGTGTTGAGCCTTTAAAGCTGCATTGAAACTGCAATTTGGACCCCATTGAAATCCTTATGGAGAAAGTTTTCTTAATTTCTTTTCAACTGAAGAAAGAAACACATGAACATCTTGGTGAGTAAATTATCAGGAAATGTTAATTCTGAAGTGATCTAATGCTTTAAATCATCTGACAGGCAATAAACGGGCCTCTCTCTCTCTCTCTCTCTCTCTCACTACATAGACCTTATATGCATAGATAACCGTACTGTGTATATTTTGACTGTGCGACCGGCCGACCCATGCTGCATTCACCATTTCATATTATGATATTATTTTATAAAGAAATAAAAGAAAGCATTTAATTTGTGCTAATGGTCATTTCAAGCCATTCTGATTAGAAGAACCACAGGGAGACCCTCACGCTTTATGTGAACGAATCCCAATTTCAGCAAGACACGATTACAGCAGGCTAAGACCATTCAATTTCATGAGCCATCAAGCAGATATCCTCTTTTAAAAATATACGGCACTCCAGAGAGCGAGAGATATAGATGGAAGACTAGCGGGGCTGGTTATGTTACTGATACAACAACATAGCAAACCTCACGAACGGCGCATTATGAGTGTGTTGAGTTACGAGTCCAGATACTGCGTCATTATTACCCAAGTCCCATCCAATACTGTAAAACATTTAAAAAAAAGAGACCATGTTCTTCTTCAAACGTTACGGCAGTACAGGAGCATGATTAATTACAGGAAGGGGAAACGGGTGAGTGAGTGTGTGTGTGTGTGTCCAATGCGGCGATGCCTCCTCTGTCTCACCTCTGCTTTGAGTCGAGCGAGGTCTACTCTGAATCTAAACGAGTGCTTTATTACGTGAAGCTGACCCGAAGCACTCAGCCGAATGACATCTATCCATCTAAACACACTATTCACCTGGTCGCCACCACAATCAATGAGATGAGACGGCCTTTTCCTGTTTCAGGACTTCTGGGATATCTTTGAGCCCTGGGAACTGACCTCGCCTGCAAACCAGCGCCCGTTTTTACACCGTAACACGCTAAATGAGAAAAACCAGAACCTAGCAAACACAGAACACTCCCGAATGGTCCCATGAGGTTATTTTTTTGGGGGGGGGGGGGGAACCAAACAAGAACGTTATCAGAACGTTCCATGTAGGTTATTTTTAGGTTTCATTTTTATAACGTAAGGAGAACGTTTCGGGGAAGTTCAAAAACCAAAAACTAACGTTCCCAGAACCTCAATTTGTTTGCTGGGAAAAAAAATAGATCAAGGCAATCAAGTTTATAGCATCCCTCGCCAGCCGACAGGACGAGTAAATCTGTGCCCGTTGTCAGCAGAAAAAGCTCGATCAGCAAAAACGTGCAGTGATCAGCAGTAATGAGCTCTGCTGGACCCACGACAACCCTGGGCAGTCTGCAAAACAGCTAGAACTTAAATAATTCAATTGGAGAATATTGTATACAGAGACAAACCCATTGACAGAACGTTTAAAAGTGCACTGGATTTCATCATGCATCATGCATATCTACAGCCAGCTGTGTGCACAAATGACAAGACTCAAGTTCAATTCTACGCACATCGGCCACTATTATGTAATGTGATACTGCAGCACCAGGACGAGTCTCTACGCACTCGCGCTCTCCTGTGTGCTGAGAAAGTTACAAACATCTTCCTGTCACTCGTCCCTGCCGTACGCCTTCATTGAACAGCCGAAAGACTATATTTAGACTCCCATCCTTGTGAGAACGCGTTTAAATGTGTACACAAGGCATGCTTTATGATAAAAGGAGGATACTGTACTTACCTCTGTAGCGTGTGTGTCCTCACTGCACCAAGAGGAGGGTGGTGATGCAGAGGGGGGATGAAGAAAGAAACTTCGCAGAGCGCGCAGGGCACTTGGAGAGCTTAGAAAAAAACAAAAGTGACAACAATCAAGACTTTAGGTTTATCCTCTTCTGGTTTTGTTGGAAACACACACACACACAAACACACACATCTCATGCACACATACACACACACACACGATAGCTCGGATCAGGACAGATGCGGAGGTGCTCTCATGTACACACACACATTTCCAGTCTCACACCCAGCAGTCTTTGCTCAGCACCACAGCCCCTGGTGTTTCACTGCTGTATTTCCCGGCACTGGGCTGTCATTGGCTCAATCACGGCTCAATAAAAAAGTCCTCCTGTTTCCGATTGGGTGATGAGGGATTTTTCTTCACAGCACACTCTGAAAGCCATCCCACCCCTCCTGCTTTTAAAAACCTACACTACGTGCAAGGAGAATGCTGAGCTGGGGAAATCAGGCAGGATCAGGATGAGAGAGTGAGAGGAGGAGGAACGCGAGGGGGCGGGGCCAGAACAGGCGCCGTAACCAATCAACGAGCGGAAGAGAGAAGCGCGAAAGACGTTGTTTACTTCAGGGATGAAACGACATAATAGTAGCCAAATTATATTGAATATGAATAAATAAAGAGACAATGCACGACGAAATGATGGCAAGACACTATAGCCTACTTCACTTCAAAGTCCAACGTCTGGTTCACTTGCTAAACAGCGAGATATAATTAATCATGTCCGTATTAGGTTACTGACTTACCGTCCACAACACAAAGAGATGATCATTTTTTTTCTAATAAAAAATATTGCTATATAGTGAACCAAAATATCGTATGATAAAAGTAGTCTACAAAATATAGGTTTTGTGTCATTTACCGTCGTCAGATCGACCAGCCATTGACAATCTTTTGAGCTTGTAACGTTACGTACGGTGGTAAACTACAAGATGACCAATTTGGACCGATTCAAATGACTCGTATGAGTAGGCTACGTTAGGTTCTTTTTTTGTGTGAATCGAAAACACAACCAATAAGTTAGCCTTAATACCAAAACGAACGACTCTTTTGAACTGAGTCTTTTCAATAATCATCAGTTCAAAATTCTGATTAATAAGCCTATAGGCTACTTATCTGAATCAAAGTCCAACGTCTGGCTCACTTGCTAAACAGCGAGATATAAATACTATTGAATACTATATAAATACTAAATACTATGTCCGTACTATTAGGTTACTGACTCCACTACACAAAGAGATAATCGTTTTCTAATAAAAAATATTCCTACATAGTGAACCAAAATATCATATTATAAAAGTAGTCTACAAAATATGGGTTTTGCGTCATTTACCGTCGTCAGATCGACCAGCCGCCAAAATAACCATTGACAATCTTTTAAAAGACTAACGTTCGAGCTTGTACGTTACGTGCAGTGGTAAACTACAAGATGACCACCAGTGTGACCGATTCAAAAACAAATGACTCATGAGTAGGCTAGTAGGTTCTTTTTTGTGTGAATCGAAAACACAACCAATAAGTTAGCCTTAATACCAGAACGATCGACTCTTTTGAGCTGAGCCTTTTCATTAATCAGTTCAAAATTCTGATGAATAGCATAGGCTACTTCACTAATCTGAATCAAAGTCCAACGTCTGGCTCACTTGCTAAACAGCGAGATATAAATAATGTCCGTAGGCGACTTACCGTCCACAACACAAAGATAATCATTTTTTTGTAATAAAAATATTGCTATAGACCTATTAGTGAACCAAAATATCGTATTATAAAAGTAGCCTACAAAATATTTGTTCGCGCTTGTAAATCTGTAAATATATGTTCGCGCTTGTAACCTATCGTTCAGAAACCCCCTCTATTTACTGTCTATGGGTAAACCCTGACTTTTGTGATCTTAACTAACTTACACAACAAAGAAACTTCAATGCTGTGCTCGTTCGTTTTAGCAATTCGTTTTTAAGGTAGCCTTCCGGTTCAAGCGTTTCATAACTCACCCGCAAGCTTCGGCATTTTACAAATCATCAGCGAAGATTCGAAGAAACCTTTATGAATATTTTGCTTCGAACGAATCAGTGCTTCGCAGCGCGCATGCGCATCAAACAGTCATGAAATTTCAGCAGGCTTCCCCATACATCATACAATTAAATTACAGACACGTCCATTGGTTTGACCATGAGACAGTCGGGTTTATTATTAAATGAAGAACTTTGAACTTTCTATACATTATTGCTGGTAGGCCAACAACTAAAAAATAAATACATGAATAAATAATCAGTGCAAAAAATATAGCCTATTAAAATCATCATGCAAAACCATACGTCATTGCATTTACACAATTTTAACCAGCAGATGTCATAGCATAGCGAAGTTTCTGAAATGTTGCACTTTTTTTTCACAATATTTATTTTTTACATTGTTTTTGGTTTTTAAATGGCATTCATTTGTTGTGTAGCCTACAGTAATTTGCATAGCCTATCGTTTTCAAGCCGATCCTGAGTTCCTCATGAGCAAAGATGGCAGCCTCCATTTTGCCTACTTCCGGGGAGATAGATACCATTCAAATGAATCACATCAGATGAATCACATATTTTAAAGCTTCTTGGCTGCAGTAAATATAAATATATTTTGCCCCTGCTCTGACTCCAGCTGCGCTCCAGCAGCATGTAACTTAATGTGGTCTATGTAAATTATTAAAGACTGATGGGAGGCGCTGCAGAACTCGCTCTCCATCAGAGCAATCCGTCCACACACTCCAGAACCTCATAATAATAGCAGTAGTTTCTCAGCTACCATATCTTACACTGTCAGACCGACAGACGCGGTCACTGTCTAATGAACTGTGCTGTGTTTCCTCCCAAGGATTCGAACTAGTCATGTAGTTTCTCCATGCAATTCTAGAAGTTGCCTATTAGCCGTGCTGTATATGATATTTAAACAGATCTGCCAAGTGACGTCAGCTCCCCAACCCCCTTTAGTCCATCTCCATTTGCAGCCTAGTGCCTCAATACTAATTAAATGGGTTTGATGGAGTCCAATCCGTCAACATCTAAAATCAATGAAATAAGGTCTGGGCAGCGGGGCTTGGGATTCTTTCTACATGATTGAAAATCCCAGTCTGTTTCCTGGAGCCTACATTTACACAGCACATAACTTTTTGCCATTTCATGTGCTTTGAATGTCTAATCAGCTTGTCTAGAGAAAGTTTGTTCCATTTACTGCATCATATTAAATCCTTTACATGTTTGTGTTTTTGTTAGTAAACACATGGTGGTGTTCTAGAAAATTGCCCAAATAATAACCTACATAGAGTCCTGGAGAGTGTCACATGGGTTTTATGAATGTCAAACGGGTGTAGCGGACTAGGCTCTATGATTAGATTTATTATTATTGAGGCGGCAGCAGAGTCTTCCGGCCCATGGCAGACGTCCAATCCTGTTTCTGTGCCTGCAGAGCTGTCCTTTGGCAAAGTGGGATGTAGCTTTTGGCCAGCGCTATATATTCGACTGGAGAAAACTCAGCCTGCATGACAGAGCAAGAATTCCTCGGATGCATTAAGAACATTTACAGTGGCCCCAGTTCTTGATTTAAACGTACAGATAAAGATGAATGATGCAAGCACAGTTTTGTGTACTTAATTAATTATTTAATTAATTATGCTTTGACAAGTGAAATGTTCTGTAAAAATGCCTTTACGCTGTTTTTCATTTCGGGCGTTCTAAAACAATGTACTATAAAACAAAAAAGTTTTTCCTTTGTGTTTTTCGGCGCACTGACATTAGATGGCGATATTGCTTTGAAAGATAAAACTACACGCCTGAACACGTAATACGCATGTGCATGACAGCACCGTTTTCACACATTCGCATTTTTGTTGTTTATGCGGAGATGATAATGGTATCGTTTTAAAAAATCTGTTTTCAAAAGTTTGCGTTTTCAGGCCACCCAAACATCATTGTCATGTAAATGAATGTCCAAAACACATAACGTAGTTTTTCAAGGGACCTGAAGTACTTTTAGTATTCGTAAAAGGGTACGTTTAGTCAACAACAATGTACTAAAAAACAGAAAATTTTTCCTTTGCGTTTTCACATACAGACGACAACATTGTTCACACAGATCTGCGAAAACGACTAAAAACTCTGTATTATGCTGCCAGGCCAGTAGATGGCGATGTCATTTTGAAAAAGAAAACTACATATAGACTGAACACATAATACGCGTGATCTCTCCGTTTTCACGAATTCGCATTTTTTGTAGTTTACGCGGAGACGATAACGGTATCGTTTTCAAAAACGTGCACTTTGAATCTCGTTTTCAAAATTTTGCGTTTTCAGGCCACCAAAACACCATTGTCATGTAAATGAATGGCCAAAACACATAACGTAGTTTTTCGTTTTTTTAGTTGAAATCAGTGTGGTGTAAACGGTCCCTTAGTATGCTGTGTTTTTCTAAGGGACCGGACCTGAAGTACTTTTAGTATTCGTAAAAGGGTACGTTTAGTCAACAACGATGTACTAAAAACAGAAAAGTTTTTCTTTTGCGTTTTCACATACAGACGACAACATTGTCAAAACCATCCTTGTTCACACAGATCTGCGAAAACGACTATAAACTCTGTATTATGCTGCCAGGCCAGTAGATGGCGATGTCATTTTGAAAGAAAAAATTACATATAGACTTAAAGTCCCCGTGAAATCAAAATTGAACCTATTTACTTTGTTAGCGCATATTACTAGTCTTGTGGTGAACAATTAATCCGTGCAAGTGAATATATATTAAAAAAATGTTTTACCTTAGTAATCTTTAATCAAAATCTGAAAAGTGACTTCCGGTCTGGAACGGTTTCTTTTTCTGATGACGTAGGTTTCACAGTTTGGGTGGGGAAACGCTTAACCACTCCCCTCAAACCGTTAGTTTGCTATGAGCGAGAGATGGAGAGGAGGAGCGCTGGAGTAAAACCCTGCCCTCTGTTCAATATTCCGTTTCACTTGGAAATACGTCACAGCACTGGAGAAAAATCGTTTGCAACTTCCGGTTCACGGGGACTTTAACACATCTTCGTTTTCACAAATTCGCATTTTTGTAGTTTACGCAGAAATGAAATTGGTATCGTTTTCAAAAACGATACTTTTCCGAAATTTTGCGTTTTCAGGCCTCCAAAACACAGTAGCCGTGTTATGAACAGACAAAATAATTAAAAGTTTTCCGTTTTTAGTCAAAAACAGTCCTGCGTAAATAGTCTCTTGGTTTGCTGTGTTTTTCTAATGTACTTTTAGTATTCGAAAAACAGTTGGCGAAAATTCGAGATGGTCCTCACTGCAGAACACGAAATCCACCTTATATAGCCTACCTAAACCTACCTACCCATTTACCCACAGGAAAATTCCCTGGACGACCTACTAC